GGCGCAGGGTAGCAGGAAACTCTCCGCACACTCACCGGACCTGGGCTAGGACTGGGTCTCTGTTCATTCTATTTTATGCAAGTTACTTAAATAAGTATATTTTCTGCATTAATATTTTTGAAAATAAAACAGAAATAGATGAAATATACAGATTGAGATTCATTATTTTAGAATTAAATCCAGCATGAGCTGCTTTATTTCACCCAAATAACATACTCTATCACATGCAAGTTATGTTAATAAGATTTTTAATCTATAGATTTTTTAAGTGAAATTAAAACTGTAAGTATACACTTTAAAGCCCCCTGTTTAACTAATTAAATTTAAGTGAAAATCTAAATGAAAAGAAAGCAAGATTTTTTTTTGCCCTTTTAGAAAGGTCTGTGTATTTTTCAAGGAACTGCCTTAATTGTAAAAAAGAACAAATCCTGCTGTATGAATGTGCCTCTTAAATGTATGCAATTTCATGATGAAAATTCAAAATAATCAGTGATTTCTTCTTTTTTTTCTCTGTCTCTCTCTCCTCAGAACAAATGTCAAGGTCTTGTGTTTGACTTGGTCACACACCAGCTCTTTGATGTCTTCATCATAGGTCTCATTGTCCTAAACATGATTTGTATGATGGCTGAGACTCGAGACCAACTCCCTTCCACAACTGTGGTCCTTGAACATATCAACACAGCCTTTGTGATCATCTTTACAGTAGAGTGTCTCATCAAAATCTTTGCTTTGAGGCAATACTACTTCACCAATGGCTGGAATTTATTTGACTGTGTGGTCGTGCTTCTTTCTATTATTAGTAAGTGAACTCAGCAGCCAAGGAGCTTTAAACTGAGACATAAGTAAACCTGCACATAGTACCCTTTGGAATTGTGTTCAGACTATTCACAAAGCAACAAATTAGGCTCAGTGTAATTTTTGAAGAAAAAAAAAAAGATTGTACTAATGCCACTAAGATTGCTAAGCAATACAGAATATTTTCCATTCCCTTATGTACACAACTGAAATAGATTTGTTCAATAGTGATACACAAATGAATGTGACTTAGAAATTCTGTGGTGACATTTGACCTATCCAGGTAAGCCAATCAAAGTTCTACCTTCCCTATGCCACTCTGAGCACTAGTGAGCATTTTTATAGGCTTAAGGATTTGGCATTTGGTATCCATGATTTTCCTTTCTTCAAAATCCACATGGATTCCAGATCACAATTACTGGACTTCCCCTCCTTTATAGGCCCATGGTCTACTAAGATTGGACTTCCAGAAGTGTCGATATGAATAAGCAGTGTTTTCTCTTTATTCTGAATCCCATGTTCATTCCAAACGCAGTGTAAACTATGCTTGTGTCAACTGTGTGAACGCGTTCATCAACCAGCCTAATCCTGTCATCACTACGTTTCCCCTCATCACATACAGGTTACCTAAACCGTGTGGCTAATGGGTAGGAATAGAGGGGAAAGAGAATTATTGCCGTGTCCGTGTCCGTGTCTGTGTGTGTGTGTGTGTGTGTGTGTGCGCGTGTGTGCACGCTGTATGTCAAACACAGAACTTCGTACATACTAAATGTGAACTCTACCACTAAACACCTGCCTTATACTCTTGTATGAAATACACACAACTAAAAGTGTTAGGGTTTACCTGGAATTTTTTGAAAGTCTAATTTTAGCTAAACCATTAATTTGACTTTTTGTAATTATATAAAGCTGTTCAGAAGCCCTTCTCATGGTTCAAAAAGCAATGAAGACAAGGAAAACTGATTTCTTAAGTGGGTACTTGTGTGCAGTCTCAGGAAGGATGCATGAAACAGACACATTAGACCAAAATATTTTGGTTCCTTATGCTAGTGCAGCAATGCAGATACATCAGAGATTAAAAGAGTGCTTCAGTCCATAGTCTGCTCTGGTTTCTAAGCCATGAAGTCTATGTAGATAGTCTGGCAGCAGATCTTCCCACATGTTCACAGTAGATAAACCTTCATCTTTGTTGGTCAGTTCCATTCACATGTTCTGGTGGAACCGGCAGCAGCAATGAAAGTCAGAAATGAGTCAATAGAAAGCAGTAATGGAGGGCTGTCCAGATGGCTCAGTGGACTAAAGCACCTGCTTAGGCAGAGCACAGCGGCTAGGGTTCAATACCGGCCTGCCATGCCATCCCCATCCCAGGAAAGCTAAGGCGACGATTGAGACGGCTTGGTGGTGTGTACCTATAATCTGAGCACTTGGGAGGCTGAAAACAGGAGAATCACTATAAGTCTGATCTCCGTAATGAGACCCACTGGGCTTGGTGGTGTGCACCTGTAATCCCAGCACTTGGGAGGCTGAAAACAGGAGAATCACTATGAGTCTGATCTCTGTAATGAGACCCTGTAGACCCTGTACTAAAAATGCATGAAAAAATTAATGGAAGTCAGGATGAGTCTGGGGTAGCACTGCCCCCCTCCACCCCTGGAGCTCAAAGAGCTCTTCCTCTAATAAGCGAAGGCATTCATCCACTCCTTCCACCCTTTCTTCCAGGTCTCACCAGGTACTGTGCAGTTTTTGCAGACATCTATCCTCTAAACAGTGCCACATTACTGCATTTACACATGCTGGATACCAGTGTGAGCAAAAGTTTATGTCCCCTTGCCAGCACATCTGTCATCTAGTTCTTCACTTTGATGCTCTTCCAAACTCCTAAGCTTTCAGAATAATAGGTTTTAAAAGTATGGGTTGAAGTGAACCTCTCTCTCTATAGGAGTTAAAAATCCAGTTGAAGTATTAAAATTTAGTTATTTTAAAATGTCAGAAAAAGATAGGGAAATTAATTGAACAGAGCTCAGAGGATGAACAGTGTTTTGTGTGCTTGATGAGTGAGAAAGATATCAGAGTCCCCTGATATATCATCCTTAAGATACCAGGACTTAAGGATGAATGTTGCTGAATTGGCACTTCATACATTTCACATGCCAGAGTCAACTGCCCAGGTAATGAATGAATTAAACTTCAGCACAGTTGAGCCACCAGTGAGGCACATCATCCACTAGTTCTCTTTTGTCATGAGGTGATGGCAAAAGCATTTTCACAGCCTGGGACCCACTGATGACCTTAGAGGACCCTCAGAACAAGAACAAAACCATGTGTACATGAGGCAAATATGTCTCCACCATTCTATAATGTTTGGGCCCAATGTGAATTGCTTTAAATCCTTGTATCACTTGGCTGTAGAGCAGGCAGTGATAGAATAGGTGACACTTCAGACCAAGTATTCAACAGCCCAAAACTCCACTTGAAATGATGCCATTTCTGGAGTGTCCACTGCAACAAGGAAAGTATCTCTCAATTTCATGTCTTAAGCTTTGTGAGATTTGACTGAGAAGTTCTTGGAGAGAGCTTATGGACAGATGTGAGATTCACAAGCAGCTTTAGCCTAAAGATAAGCATCCCAATACTACGACCTTCCTCCCATCTTACACAGACGGTGGCCCTTTCATCAGGTAAGGTTTCTCACCTGTAACAGGGCTGTATGCAAATTTCTGTGAACAAATAAGAGCTTGTCCCTTTTAAGGAACTCTGCAAGTAAGGATTCCACAGTTTCAACTGGCAACAGAGGCTTAAGCCATCCACTAAATAGCAGAAAGTTCTCCTTGCACACTAATCTAAAAGACTAGTTGTTCTATCTACCTTTTTAGATGGAGAACTATTGCGTTTCTTACTCCATGAATAGCTTTAAAAAATTCAACATAGATAATAAACTTCAAGTATGTGAGCTAATTCACAAATAGCCATTTGTAAACTGACTCTTTTCCTTGGTTATCGTCAGTATTTTCTACATTTTATTCTATCTAAAGCTGTTTTATTCTTGGAAATTATTTTTTAAGCAAAGGCACTGATAGATATTTTCTCTGATATTAGAAAGAAAATGCTTCATGTTGTGTATAGATTACCAAGTATTAATACAAAGTTGGTCCTACTGGGACTCTGAGGCAGAAGATGGACTGGGTTTGAAACCAATGTGCCTAATGGCAATTCATTAACTGTTCTTCTCCAGGTACGGTGGTTACCTTACTGGAAAACACTGTGGCCATGCCTTTTCCTCCAACACTCCTCAGAATTGTCCGTTTGGCTCGAATTGGCCGAATCCTGAGACTTGTTCGGGCAGCGCGAGGAATCAGGACTCTCCTCTTTGCTCTGATGATGTCCCTTCCCTCCCTATTCAACATTGGTCTTCTACTCTTTTTGGTTATGTTTATTTATGCCATTTTTGGTATGAACTGTCTTTCTAAAATAAGTCCAAAAGAAGAAATTGATGTGATACTCAACTTTGATACTTTCTCTGGCAGCATGCTATGTCTCTTCCAGATAACCACATCAGCAGGCTGGGATACTCTCCTTGACCCCATGCTGGGATCACACGCAGATAAACCTTACTTTCCTGGTCTCCCCATTGCTTACTTTGTGAGTTACATTATCATCTCCTTTCTCATTGTGGTCAACATGTATATTGCTGTGATTCTAGAGAACTTCAATGTAGCCACTGAAGAAAGTGAGGAGCCTTTGGGTGAAGATGACTTTGAAATATTCTATGAAGTCTGGGAGAAGTTTGACCCTGAAGCAACACAGTTTATCAGCTATTCTGTCCTTTCTGACTTTGCTGATGCCTTGCCTGAGCCTTTGCGAGTGGCAAAACCAAATAAGTACCAGTTTCTGGTAATGGATTTGCCTATGGTAAGCGGAGATCGCCTGCACTGCATGGATATTCTCTTTGCCTTCACCACCAGGGTGCTTGGTGATTCCAGTGGCCTGGATACTATGAAAGCAATGATGGAGGAGAAGTTCATGGAAGCCAATCCTTTCACGAAGTTATATGAACCCATAGTCACCACTACCAAGAGAAAGGCAGAGGAAAAGGGTGCTGCTGTTATTCAGAAGGCCTTCCGAAAGTACATGATGAAGACAGCCAGGTATGCTGTGGAAAACAGACCTCCTTCACCACCCCAGACACTCTGCAATGGAGACCTGTCTGGCTCTGAGGTGACTAAGCGCAAGGTTCATTATGACTGAGCACTTTATCTGTGCCTCTGCCTCAGCCTCACAGCCCTCAGCCTCAGGGCTCCAGGGTCCATAGTTTGGTTGTGAGCAGCATGGAACTCACTGAACTTGCATTTCTTTTCTCTGGCTGAAAGAAGTGAGGTTTCCCTATACACTTTAATCCTTGTAGACATTTACAATAAGGCTGCCATCTTAACCACCAGTACTATTTAATAAAGAAGGAGACCTAAGACAAGGTTCCAGAGGACATGTTAGGGTTGAAATACACATCAAGTTATGTAAAAACAAAATAAAAGATATCAAATTGTATTAAAAATTTAAATGGTGTTCCTGTATGTTTCTAGGTACAATAACCAATACCTCTGTGTAATGTTTTCCTGATGCAAGTATATAGTTTGTTATATGTAGCTTTTTTGCATGCTGAGTAAAAATTCAAAATCTGCCAATAAAGGAACAGCTCAGCATTAAGTAATTTGGGTGTATCTCAAAACTAAAGGCATATTCTTGACTTATCAGAAGCTATAATCTGTTATGTAATAAATGAATAAATAAATAAGACTTTCAGTTTACATGTCATTGAAATAGTACAGTAATTTGTTGTACTTTACAGTAATTTTCACAGTTTGGTGATACTGGAGGTTGAACCCAGAGTCTTTGTCCTGAGCTACATCTTCAGTCCCTTTCAAAGTTTTGAGACAGGGCTTTTGTTAAGTCACAAAGTGGCCAAACTGGACTCAAATTTCGGTCCTTCTGCCTTGGTCCTGTAAAACACTCAGATGACAAGTGTGTGCCGTTACACCCTGCTAGCACACTAATATTTTCATCTTGTTTTGAGTGCAAAATAGTTTAATGTGGTTCTTTGTTTGGAATTAAAGACTGCTGCCAACAGACAGTCTGGTAAGCATTTTGAATTGACCATTCAGAGGCCCAAAACCATCCTTTTTAGTATTTTGATTTCTATGATGTGAATAGTGCCAACATGTCTTGTCTCATGAGGTGACTGGATATGAAGCCAGGAGGAGCTGTGCATGCTGTGTTCTTGAGAGCAGGCCCACAAAGAACCCAACATCCTTTGTTTCTGGAACCAGTGAAGAACCTCCACTTGACTCTGGCTAAAACTTCAGCACTGGACACCTTACATGGAGAGAGCGCCACTCGGCAGCATGTGGGCTATGAGCCTGGGGAGGCTACGACATAATGGCTAGCCAGTAACTTTAACCATCTGAAAGCCCTATACTCAGTTCTGGCTGAATGTCTGCATGAATTACAGCTCAGAGAACAACCCATGTCTATCATGAGGACATAGCCAAGCACCGTCCAAGACTTTCATGAATATTAGAGAGACCCCTGGAGCATTAAACTAATAATTGGCTTTCTGAAAGTGCCTAGATTGTGATTTTATAGGTAAAGAGGAAGAGTTCCCAGGAACAACCCTAGAATTCTGTACTTCAGTAGGTGGGAAGAGCAGATGTGTGTACCAGCAGCCTGGGGTCTGAGCTTAGCCTCCAACCAGCAACACAAATGCATGCACACTCCAGACCCTGTCATGAGCTGGAGATTATTTTGAAGGACTAACAATATCCAGGCCTTGGTTTTGTGACTGTTCTAGGCAGCTTTGTATTCTGGAGCATTGATTTAAAAATAGTAATGACATCATTATCTAATATTTACCTAGCGGCTCTTATGCATTGGGTACTGGCTGAGCATTTGTCCTAAGTAACTTCATTTGAAAATGTAGTGAGCTAGTAAGTATAAGGTAGGCCTCCTTTAAAAGTGAGGACACTGAGGCACAAAGAGGTTGAGCAACTTGCACACACACATAGCTTTGCACCCTGCCTGGAATGAGGGCGTAGGCAGGATCGGGAAATCTTTGAGATGGATTGCAGGGTTCTGTGCAGGACTGCAAGGGCCACTGGTTCTAAAGTTAGAGCCAAGTTCTCCTTGGGGCATGGGAATGACCGGTGACTTTCTTAAGTGATTCCTCTGGTTGTGATCACTGAGAATTCTATACATCCTTACCAAGTTCTCTGGGAAAGATGACTGACATCGTCATTCTGATGTGAGCACCTCTTTAGTGCAGAGGGAGAAGGATCTGGAAGAATGTCATCTTGCCCACTCCAGCTAATACTCGGGCCAAGATGTGATCTGCTTGGTGCAGGAGCTCCAGCTGTCCTCATGTACATCTGTCCACCCTCACATGGTTTTATTTGGCCAAGACTGGATTCCCAGAGTCACACAGCTTCTGCTTGAGGTTGAACTGCACTTCCTTCACTAGATGGCAGCAAATATCCAAAGTGTTCTTTTCCAAGCACTGCATCACAATCTATGCGAGCCTGGCACTTGGAAAGCCAAGGCAGGAAGCAGTGAATTATTTGAACCTTGGGTGGTGCCAGAAAGCTCACCCTGCTCAGGGAGATCTCACTCACTAGCCAAATTCCCAGCATACCCCAACAGGCAGCGTGGTTGGTCTGAATTCTATTGCCTGTAGCTGCCCTGAATATCCATGATCAACAGAGGCCCATGAAGCCAGGCCCCTGTCCTGAATCCTCTTCTCCAGGTAACTAAACCCTTCTCAATTTTGGTCAACTGTTGACCAAAATTGCTGAGACAAAATACCTAACACCCAAAGTTAAAGAGAGAAATGGTTTACTTAGCTCATAGTCTGTAGAGGTTTCAGTCCATAATCGGCTGGCTCCAAGGCAGGGTGGCTTGGCAAAGGAGCATCACAGGAAAACCAGTTCAGTTTTTGTAGAAGACAGCAAAAACAAACAAGCAAGGGACAAGACAAGTCTCTTTCTTTCCCTTATATTGTATCCAGGCTATGAGGATTAGGGTGGTGCCAAACCAATCATTGAACTGATTTTATAATCATCCGTCCTTAATCCAAGCACCTTAATCCTAACATTGCACCATGGATTATCATGCACTGTAGATTTAGCCACCTGATAAAGCTCCACGTATGACCACATAAGGCTTTGCAGTACAACCATAACCTATCGCATGAGTCATAGTGGCTCACCAATGGCCCCTAACCTCAAGAGGAAATATGCTAATTAGGAAGAGACTCAAACAAGTGTTCACATGATGGTAACATTATAACAAGTGCCACCAACCAGAGGCAGACCTCTGCTCTGGGGATGTGAATGGGAAAAGATCCATAAGAGAGAGACATCTGAGATAAGCTTGATGGGGATACAGTAGTTTGACAGGTGGCTGTGGTTTTGAAGAGTTACTAAAATGGAAGAGTAGAATGTGTAAGGAAGTTTGAGCTATGCAACTGACTGAACTAGCGTAGGTAGTAGGCATCAGCAACCAGATCTTAGAAATGCACTGTCTGCAGACAGCCTCAAATACCAACAGGAAGTTACAAAGACTTAGAATCTATTGAGCACTTACTTGGTACTAGGTAGTCCTGCACCAGCATTAGCTCACTGAATCTTCTCAAAAACTGTGATGAGTAGAAATTATGTTTAGCCTACATTATGCAGGTGAAGAAGCTGAGACTTGGAAAGGACACTAAGGCTGCACAGCCAGTCTGTGGCCACCAGGATTCAGATGCAAGCATGTGGCTCGAGACCTCAAGCCATCCACTGTGATATCTCCCTGCCCCACAGAAGGAAGCAGCAGCACAGATGAAGCTGACGGCAGAGTGCAGGGTTTGTCTGGTAGTCCTTGTGAATCTCTAGGCATCTATTTCTTCTCCTCCTGGGGAGACACTGACAGGTGTTTTAATGGGAAGAAAAGATAACAGGACACAGCATGCAGGGTGGAAACGTAAAGAAAGATATCGGGGCTGGAGAGATGGCTCAGTGGTCTAAAGCACTTACTTGAAACAAGCTTGTCAAAGCACAGGGACCGCGGTTCAATCCCCCAGCACCACATGCCAGCCAGCCCCGCCCCCTGGTGGGCTGAGCTGGCCACACACACACACACACACACACACACACACACACACAATAAATAAATGTAATAAGTAATTTAAAAAAAAAAAAAAAGAAAGAAAGATATCATGTGGGCCTGGCAAAGAAGCCCTGAGCCAGAAAGGCCAAAGGGCAGCACAGTGTGACCATATGATGCTTGTTCCACCTGACTAGCTATGAAAGTAGAGCCTGGGACACATTAGAATTTTTTATTAGGGGGCAGTGGAGATAGCAGCATAAGTGCCTGCCTGGCAAGCACAAGGTCCTGAGTTTGAGTCCTAGTACCAAAATTAAAAAAAAAAAAGGATTTTTGATTAGGGTAACAAGACAAGTGACAGTGCAAGTTACCAAGTTACCAAGTAAATAAGTATATGTATGAAGAGTAAGGTTTTGTTTGTTTGCTTCTGTTTGTTTGTTTGTTTGCATGGTTAAGGAGGAGAAAAATCCAAAAATTAAGTCAGTGTTCAGACTTCTGAAGTTTAAGATGATAGGTTCACTGGAAAATCTCTAGGCAGGCCTAGAAATTGAGGACAATGAGTGGACAGGCATTCTCATCACTAGGAGTGCATGAATTCCTGGAAGGATAGACCACAAGTCTCTAACCTCTTCTTCAGGGGTAAGAACGTGCCTGTGAAGTGGCATGAGACAGGGGCAGGGTAAGGGAAGGTAAGTAAAGCAAGTATTACAGCACAGAATATGGGCACAGAGCAGGTTTTACAGGAGAAATTCACAGACCCCCAAGATGAGATAGAGTGCAGTATCTTTATCCCCACCCCAGTATGCAGTGTGCAGGAGCCATGCTGTGACATGGCTGTTGCCAGAAAGAACCTTGCTTCTGTCTTTCTCTACCTTTTCATAGTATAAGTCTGAGAGCTTGTTTTACTTATAAGCAGAAGCTGGCTCAGGAGCTGGCTGGGGCCAGGGAGTAGTCCAGCAGTGTCATCTATGGGCACCTAATGCCCCTGAGGAAGTTGAAATACTGTACAGCTCCCCTGCTTGCAGAGCAGGAGCCATTAGTCCCAGAGAATTTGTTGCCTGGCAACTGAGATAGACCCTCCAGGGCCATTCAGTGGGTACTCCTTTCCCTCCATA